TTTAAATAGAGTTTCCTGAAAAATAACACCCAATATCCTGGAATTTGAAGGAATTTTCTTAAAACTTTCAAAATGCCTCTTACGTGGATTTCTTATTTGGATGAATCGCTATGACGTTTTAATATATATTAATTATTGAGTGGGCTTATTTTGCTTTCTAATGGATCCATACAACATGGCAGAGCTTAAGGGGCCTGGCAGAGGCTTTTCAAGAGAGAAATTGTCTTTAGGAGAAAAAAAGAGGTTATTTCTAAAATGAAATGAAAGGGTTATTGACTTTCAAAAGAGAAAATTGTCTATAAGAGAGGAAGAGAGGTTATTTCTAAAATAAAATGAAAGGGCTCTTGTCAAATAGCCCTTTCATCTCATTTTTTCTCTCGAAATAAACTCTCTTTCTCTCTTATAGACAACTTTATGAGATGGAATCTTCAATCTGAAGCCTTTTTTGTGTTCTTTGAAAATAGCACACTGAATGGGGGCAGTGCAATTTAAATTTTAAGGGATGGATAAGAGTTTTTATCGCTCTTGAAAGTCAAATAGCCCTTTCATTTCAGAAATAAGGCTCTCTTTCTCTCTTATAGACAACTTTATGAGATGGAATCTTCAATCTGAAGCCTTTTTTGTGCTCTTTGAAAATAGCACACTGAATGGGGGCAGTGCAATTTAAATTTCAAGGGATGGATTAGAGTTTTTATCGCTCTTGAAAGTCAAATAGCCCTTTCATTTCATTTTAGAAATAAACTCTAATACATTCCTTGATATTTAAATTGCGCTGCCCCTATTGTGTCCTCTTTTTAAAGGGCACAACAGAGCCCTCAGATTAGGCAGCAAGTAGCAAAACAAACCCGTAACACTGGACACAACATTCAATGGGATGATGCCCATATCATTGAGTTTGAAACGCACTTCTGGTCAAGAATGGTAGAAGAAGCATCTGCATAAAAAGGATGAATCCTTCACTGAATAGGGATTCTTGCTATACACTTTTACCTTTGTGTAAATAATAAAAGGTCCACGGGCGTGGTTGTTAGAAGCTAAAACTAACATATAACTCTCTCCAATTTTGCAGGGGAGCCTTTGTCGGGAGTCTTTAATAATAAAAGGGATAAATCCTTCACTTCTTGCTATATGTTACCTTTCTTCGCTCCAGTGATCTCGAGGCAGCAGACAGCAAGAAATTGTGTAAAGAATTTGCTGTTGCCGGGAGTCTTGCATGGGGCGGAGCCCCAGGAAGTTCTTGAACTTTAAAAAAAATAGGAAATTCCAAATAGTCGTCATGAGCGATATAAATTGTAATTTCCTCCTTGAGAGTCACATAACCCCTTTCATTTCATTTTAGAATTTAACCTCTCTTTCTCTCTTAAAGACAATTTCATATAACTTCTGTTTTCGTATTGTTGTACTTTCGTCCGCAGACTACTTAAGCACATGTCGAGCCAACTCAGTCGGAAATGTAATATGTAGGCCTAAGTGTAAAGTTAAGTTTCATGTTCTTCCATTTTTCTTTCTTTCTTTCTTTCTTTCTCTCCCTCTCTCTGTCTCTCTTATTTTCCTCTATCTTCTTTTTTAAAAACATTATTCTTTCTTTTCTTCTCATTTTCTGTGTGTGACATGCGTTACGCGTACGTCTATCAATATCTTAATATGGTAGATTTACATTTTGATGTTTCCCTTTGTAGGTGCACCCCCCCCCCATGTATTGATCTCGATAAAAAATAATAACTTTCTCATTAATTCTATTTCCAATATATCTAATACTTGCACTAATCTCCAATTTTAAAAAAAATTGTCTACTTTCTCTCAAGACAACATTATATAAAGGATTCAAAGGCTATCTCGCGAGTAATCTCTCAATTTCTAACTTCCTGCTTTCCTCATCTCCCAGTCTCCCTTGCTTTAATATTCCTCGTTACTTCCTTCCAATTGAACTCCAACTTAATTGATGTTATACACTGTATCTATTCTTCAACTACAGGTAGATGCAAATGTTACTCAAAATCCATTATATAAATCACACTCAGGATACAGCCAATTGACAAGAATTGCTTCAATCTATATTTTACATGTATCATTAATATATGGTTTTACAATGGATATGGTGATGAGTTGTCTAGGTAACATGTTGATGTGTTTGTTAAAATGTATTACCATGGTGCACCTTCTTGGTTACAAAAAAAATATGTGTATGTATTAACGTAAGTTCGTGCCTTTACATATCACAGTAGAAATCAATGTTTTATATTTGATGCAGAATAATATTAATATTTGGAGATTAGAAACACAAACAGTTTCCATAACCGTTCAAGTGTTTCAAGAAAAAGTTAAGCAAACTTTCTCCTGGATGTAAATTCACACTAGCGTATAGCACTAGCGAGCTCTCCGATCCAGGCTAGACTCTTCGCGAGCGGTTTCATTGGAATTTTAAGCGGTTTCATTGGAATTAATCGAGAAATTCCCCTCGCTATAGCGTGTAAATAAAAAATACGCCGACCGGCCATACGTTAATGGCAGTGACGGTAACGACGGATTAGGAGGAAGGGGTGCATACGTTAACTACAAGCGTATTGGGGATGATCATACTATCATTTTAGAGTGTGCAATCTGGGTCGGAATCCAGCATAATGGCCCGAATTCACAAAGCAAGGTTTGAGCTCAAACCTCCTTTTGTTTCGCCAAACCTCCTTTTGTTCTTTACAAACCAGGTTTGTAAAAAAACGCGTAAAACGCGTCATATGACGTACGAAAACCAAGGTTTGTCGACAAACCTCCTTTGTGAATTCGGGCCATAATATTTATAAAAAAGAGGTTCACATAAAAGCACTCATGATAAAGCCGCGCCCGGCCCCTACAACATCATTTTGGATTTTCAGATGATGGGGCGGGTGGCAGGGGTAGGGGGCAAAGTTCGCCCCACTCTTCAAGTACCCCCCCAAAGGGCCACTTTTACTTTGTAAAGAAGTGCCCCTTCCCCTTTTTAACTCGGATAAGCGCACATTTCATCAACACATGTGCCCCCTTTCCTATCTGATAAGGGCTATTTAGAAAATGAGACCCTTCATAAATAGAAAGTGTCCCTTTTCATCTCTGGTAAATGACCATTTTCATATATGAGAAGTTAATTCTTTTCACTTCAGTGCGCTCTTCACCTCCGATAATTGCCCCTATTCAAATCTAAGAGATGCTCGTTTTACTTTGAAAAGTACCCCTTCCCCTCCTGATAAGTATTCTTTTCATTTATGATGGGTGCCCATTTTCACCTTTGCTAACTGCCCTTTTATTTTGAATCGTGCCCCCTTTCCTTTCTAATAAGGGACCTATCCCCTTTTCATAAATGCCCCTTTTCACTTCTGATAAATTAATTTCTGATGGGTGCCCCTTTTCCGTCGACAAATGCCCATTTCCCATACTCATACGTGCCCTATCTCATTTCTGGTGAGTGCCTCCTTTCAGGTGTAAGAAGTGCCCCGTTTGAACCTTTGATAATTACTCTTTGTACCTTGACACATGCTCCTTTTCTTTTCTAATAAGTGTCTTTATCCCTTTCGATTTGTATCCCCTTAACCTCTCATCATCGGGCACGTAGGCACGGGGAGGGGGGGGGCACGGGGGGGGGGGGGCACGTGCCCCCTAACCTGCTCATCATTAGTCTTGCACCTAATTTAAAGCGACTAAGAGTAATTTCCCCTAAAGCTCGCTCACTCCCTCGCATTTATAGATGATACAATTATATGTCACTTTAAAACAAATGTTTTTTCAGTCTTCCGTGATGCTTATAACCCATCATGATTTGGTTTTTTCCTCTTAATTTTTCACTCTGCGACCTCACAGATCTTACATTTTTTTCTCGCTCGCTTTGCTCGCTCACAAATGAATATTCAGACAATTACACCCAGCCGAAAGTGTGATGCTTAAGCAATATCTTGTATGATATATAAAGAAAAACAAACATTGAAATCATCCCTGATAATGAAATCACAATGAAAGGGTATATACCAATGTCTAAAAAAAAATGTATATTTTCGCTTTGTAGGTGCCCTTTTTTGTTGGTGCTTTCCACTTTGGAAATAGCTCCGCCGCCCCTGCTTACGCATTAGCGCCAGCGTTAATTTCACGCTTGCGCGCACAGGGGGTGTCTATGTGTGTGTGTGTGTGGGGGGGGGGGGTTCCTCTCTAGCTCTGAAGCTGATATTTTTTTACCTGGATTCGTGCGATTCGATTAATACTTTTAGAGGGAGTCTGAGGGGTGATGTGCCCCCCTCTGAAGCTGAATTTTTTTTTGATTTTTGAAACTGGATTCGTGCGTTTTGGTTAATACTTTTTTGGGGAGTCTGATTTGATTTCAAAACACCTGCAGTAAATGCGGGATGGGGTTGCAGCCTCTCTTTCCCCGAAAATTTAAAAATTGCCAATATGCATTTGTTATATCTTATCTCGTATATTTTGGTGACAATTAACACTTTTCACAACATACATAAGCTCGAATTTCCGCTCACTCGCTTCGCTTACTCGCCAAATTATTAAATCAGGAAATAAATATTGAGGCAAGAGGCTTCAGCCCCCACTGATGGAAATGTCAAAAAATTGCGAGCGAGCATAACATGAAAACGGGGAATGTTGATATCGGACAAAAGATGTGACGTGAGCATGTCCCCTTTCCAAAATAATTGTGCCCGTTTGTAGGCACCAGTACACTATTAAAGTACAGCGCTTCTAATATGACCTTGTCAGTATTGGTAAGTTTAAATAACGGTCTGCGCGAATTTCGAATTTCCGGCCCCCCCCCCCCCTATTGGAAAATCCTGGATCCGCGCCTGCATACCCCAGTTCACTGAACACTATCTCAATGCACTATTGTTCTTTAAACATTAAACGACCTTTTACCCCAAAGGCTATGTAATATGCTCACGTTGAATAATTTAGAAGAAGTTGATTTTATATTTTGCATCGGAAAACCAAACGATTATTTTTATTAACCTAGTGCAAATATTTTACATCACCAGGTAGATGAAAGAGACTCTGTCGACATGACGGAGACAATTGAAGCAGAAGAAGGGAGGAACATGACGCCGTCCACACCTCTCTCGTCGCCCACGCATTCAAACTCCACGTCGACTATGGATTCAAAGTCCAGGAGGGGGTCAGAATTAGGACCCTATGAAACAGGACCCCGCGCTTGGATCGTCATCGCCGCGTACTTTTTCCTGCATTTAATCGAGATGGGCATCCTCAAAAGTTTTGGCGTACTCGTCAGTGAACTCGTCGTCCAGTTCGATACAAACCCTGAAAGTCTTGGATTCATCATCGGTCTTTACCATGGAATCTCATATGTTTTGGGTAAGACTCTTTAAAGGGATCCGGTAACTTTGTCTTAGGTCCTTTAGAAATAATCCTTGATTTAGCTCATGCTGCAATGTCGATAATTATAAACCTTTAGGTCAGTCAGGAACTCCATGACTTTTACAAGCCGATCGCCTATCTGATTATCAAGATATTAATGATTGGAATTACATATTTTGAAAACCGTTCGCTGAACGTTTTTCATAACACTACAGTCTATTAGGGAAAACGAGTATGGTAAAAACCGGTCACTCAAAGACTTTTACTTTTTTGAGGCACTTCTTGATCATTTTGAAGCGCGATTTTTTTTTTAGGGCATTAATATTGCACCATATCACAGACACTTGTAACATGTAGGACCGTGTATCTCAGATTTAACATTGTTAAACGATCCCTGACTCTATCTATCATCCCGAAGCGGGGAGGTCACGAACTTGCGGATCAGGGGGGTAAAAGAGCAACACTTACCACACAGAATAATAATAAGGACAAGGGTTATAAAAAAAGATTTTCTCTAAACTGCTGATTTTTTATTCTCACTAGGTTTCAAAAGACGGTCTCCGTATCTGCTAATTTGCCGACTACCATCACACGTTTTTGATTTAATGTTTCGGACAGGATGACGTACCCAGTCGAGACCTCCTCCTTCTTTATCGACGCCTTTATAGACAAAGATTTGCCTTGTGCATGAAGTGTCATATCTTGTCTTGCTTACCCGGCATAGCTTACTCCCGAAAACATCCTATAGCGTCGACGTCTAATCCGATCGTGTTTTTATTTTGTTTCTGTCACTATTCCCACTTTTCTTGAATGACGCATCTCCATTAATTAATTCCTATATCCTTTGTTCTCTCCACCCCCCCCCCCCCCCCGTCTCCGCTGCAGCTTCTTTCATCGCACCTCTGTCAAAGCAAGAAGCATTGGTAAGGCCGTTGATGTTAACTGGATGCTTCATTATGGGCCTCAGTCTCTCGCTATCATCAATTTCACCAAATATTGCCTGGTTCACTGTTGCAATGGCCGCCTCAGGTAAATAACGGGGGAAGGTAAACTGCGCATAATTAACTCCTTGTAAACAACTTGACTCTCCCCCATCTTGGGTATAACATATGGAACGACGGTGAAGTGTGGTAGCTATTTGAGGGGAACTGACATAATTGGGGGGGGGGGGGGAGGTGGGATGATAGGCAACAGTCTTAGTCGGTTAAAGTGATGGAATAACACGATTGCAAAGACTTTCGAGAAATCGACTCAAGGGCAATATGAATAACGTATTGTTTTGCCTATAAAATGTAGCACGTCATTGTAATAGTGGACATGTCTGTTAAATTGACAAGTTTTAAAATCACGGTTGTCGATAGTCAGTTGATACAGCGCAAAGGGTCGAGCAATTTCCTCGTAACAGTGGGTATATTAATATGAAATGTTACGTTTCACGAATTTTAACGAGACTTGTTAAAGTTGAGATTTGTTTCTAGATACGATTGAAGTTTGTCCGCTTTGAGTCGGGTCGAGATACAGGTACACGTGTAAAAAAAATGTCTTGTATGAACAAACAGAAATGTGAAACAGCGAGGTATAGAAGAATACAAGAAGCAAGATCTAGAAATCAGCTCCATAGTGTTGATGGCGGAAATCGGATAAACACCCTTCTCTATCACTACTTGAATGGTTATTTTTCTAATAAAGCTATATGTACCATAATATGGGCATGAGGCCAAATGAAATGAATTCGTATAGTTCCTCCCCTACTGCTTCCTTGTTCATTTGTAATTTGCTATATAACATTTGTTGTTCTGAAATTAAATACAAAAAGGAATCAGAAAGCATCTGGACAACGAGGCAGCAAAAAGCATCAATTAAGTACATTTTCAAATTGTTTAGGAGGCTCTAAATTACATGTAGAAATAAAAGTATATCTACAAAATTAGCTTTAACAACCCAATAACATTGTCGTTTAAAGGAAACATATTGTTTTTCTATTTTTTGACAAAAACAGGCGAGAAACTAGAATTCACGTTTACTTGGCCGCCTGGAGGAAGGCAGGCTCATACCTTTAATCACGGTTTTGCAGAAGGACGTCAGGTTTCTGTTCAATAATTTCTTAATACAATGTTTATTTAATTTCTAAGAACTATTAACGCTTTTGCCAATATTCTCTTCACTACTTTTACTATCATATTTAATGAGGGTCTCTTTGTTTTGTTTCTTCTCTCTCATTCTCGCTCCAGGAGTTGGGTTTTCCCTCATTGCGGTGATGACCTTTATGGTTTTCAGCCTGTACTTCGACAGGCGCTTTGCTATTGCGTTCGGGATGGGTGATGTTGGCTGTGCCGTAAGTGTTGTATTACCGTTAGCTACTGAGAAGATTCTGGAATGCTATGGGTGGAGGGGAACAATCCTTATATTAGGAGGAATAGCTTTTAACATGTTCATCTTCTGTGCCATATTGCGAGATCCTAGGACGCTAGGGAAACGAAGAGCCAAAGGTGCTTTATATTCAGAAGTGAAAGAAGAGGAGGGTGGTTGTCATGAACTTGCCGAACCAAACAAGGATATAGCTAAGGAAGAATTTCAGTATGATCCTTTACAAGTATCTGTGGAAGATCAGCCACAAATTGTGAAGAGCCATAAACTGAAAGATTTGTTGCTGAGACCAATCCGATGGCTATGGCGTGTACTTGATTGGTCGCTATGTCGGGATGAACCTTACCTCATTTGTATCTTTCTTGCTACGTTCATCTTCGGTATGATCACTACGGCATGGTATATCTTCCTGATATCTCATGCGGTTGCTAAAGGTATCACCCTCTCTAGAGCAGTTCTTCTTTCCGTGGCCTCTGGAGCCGGTGACGCCGTAGGAAGATTCTCGCAGGGTCCTATTATTCACAATCGCTGGATGACTTGTTTAGGACTGTTCATGGTGTTAGCTGGACTGAACAGTGTTGTGTTTTTCTGTGATCCTCTCCTGGAGAGCTTTGAATGGCTGGCGTTTGGAACATTGCTGAATGGCATCTTCTTCGGAAGTCAGATGTCCCTGTCGGCGATCATGCTTAAGGTAATTACATCAGTGTTCCTATGTTGTTATAAAGGGCACCCTCTTTATGAAAGATTGTGGTCAGAAGTACTGTACATTTGTTTATTTATTGTCCGTATGAATGGCTGTTTTCCGTTTCAGTGGAGGCTCTGACTTATAATTGTAAGAACAAATCTGATTATGAAAATATCACATACATCGATGTGGTAAGTCCGTCAGAATTCGATTTTAACATAATTTTTAAAAAGCCCTACAAAGTGCCCAAAGAGCACAAAAATCTTTACTACTTTAATAAATTATTTGAACCTCAGAACGCTGTCGCTCATGATATAAAGAAAACGTTAAACTGAACTGATATTTAAATATAATTGTATATTGTTCCCGGGTCTTTGGAGAGTTACCGTGTATGGTTGTTATGCATAAAAGCTGGCCAACTACAATCCACGTTCAAGTGAAAAGATTTATTCAACTGAATTATGGCCCACCAAGTATGGACCGTATGCTACTACAATTTGAACTCGACGCCAAGCTTACGCTCTTGGTCCTAAATCACGTTTGAAAAGGAAAGTTACTATAGTATCTAGCTTTTTTTTTGTTGCTAAACGTGATCTTATACCGGGGTTGGGTTAAGAGAATTAGTAGGATACAGACCTGTGCGTTAATGACTTAGGAGTGTAAAATTATAATGATTTGTGTTCTTCACAGGAGTACACGCCACCTTCAAGACTGCCGACGTCATACGGTTTGTCATGTGTAGCGTTTGGCCTCTCCGAACCCATTGGCGGATTCACGGCAGGTAAACCTACAGCACCTTTTTGTGTATTTTTTCTTGATTTTTGGGGGGTGTGTTTTTGTTTGTTTTTAACCTTTTCTTTCGTCACGGCACCTATTTGTTTCGGTTTTTTGTTGTTGTTGTTGGTTTCATTGTTATTTGTTTTTACCTGACTGCTTAGAAAGCATGTGTATACATGTAAGTAAGTAATCATAGGACTTGGTAATGATGATCAATGCCTTACAAAAGGGCACTGGAGCATCAACTTGGTTTTGAACCAGGGACCCCAAGAGACCGCTGCTCTGCCACTGAGCCTCCCCCTGCATTGTATAAAAGCGTCGCGTTGATTCCATCGTCTCAGCTTCATCACAGGACACTCTGGCATGCACTCATCAGGACATACATTTACAGACACACAAACACACACCCATTGGTGTCTTAGTATAATACATGTATTTGATTTCTAATACTTTGTTTTCATTTATTCTAAAATATTATTTCATTAAAAATTAATTCATCTGTCGCGGCATCCTGTTTATAAAGACTTGTAGAGTGTATTGAATAACTACAAGTTGTGTATCTTTTCGTTCTCTTTTTTTCAGGTTGGATTGCGTCCGTTCTTGGATATGACATGATGTTCGTTTTCCTGGGTGGATTAGGTGTTGTCTCCATTATATCTCTTGTTCCAGCCTATATACATTACTGTAGACCATCTAAAAACACCGCTGTAGAAGAAACCAAGTGTGAATAAACTACATGTACATGCTCACTCTATAGAAAGTGTAGCATATGAAATGAATTTTTTTTTTTGCAATTGTAAAAACATGCTTCACAAGAACTAACATTCTTCGTACAAGGTATATATTTATATTGATACGAAATTTACGTTGAGACAAAACATTTCAAGGTTTACACGCCATTAAAAAAAAACATGTTGGAAAATTCTCTTAGCTTTTAAAAGGAGAGTCTTATTTTTTGCTTGAATTTCAATTTGGCACAATAGCCGGTCTTCAAGAATATAGCAGAGATCTTAAAACGCTATTAAAAAGAAACAAACAAACTAGCAAACATAACTAAATAAAACTAAAAACTCTCAACATTCCAGAAGAGAGATCTATACGTGTAAACCATCAAATTGTTATCTCATATATATATACACTGGCGCTCATATAGTTGGAATATTTTTATTTTACCCCATACAAAACTCCTCTGGACGGCCATGCATTATGGCTCGAGGCATGGGCACACAGAGGATTTTTTGATGTTGGGAACCGGGGTAAAATGCAATAAATTATTGAAAATTTGTTGCATTTTCTTTGTTTTTTTAATTTATGGAAACTGCCCCCTACCCTAGCCCCCGCTGCGTACAGTCTGAGTCATGGTTTAGTGGCGAAGCCATGGCCTCGTAACTGTGAGGCCCCAGGATCAAAACCGTGTCGATATGCTATATTAGTGCCCTTTTGTGGGCCATTAATCCTCATTACTGTCATTTATGACTTAAGGGCGTAGGTCACCTAGTTAATAAGCATAGTAGCATACACATGCTTTAGCAGTCCCGCAAAACACACATTGGCAAATTATTATTCAATAAAATCTGAGAATGTATACTATTATCTAGATCCATTATTTTTAAATTATTTTTTAAATAATTCCATAAATTGGGGTAAAACAAAAATATTCCAACTTTATGAGCGACAGCTTATCTATTCTTGAACTTAGGGCATTAAGATTGATGATAGATAATCAAATCAAATACATTTCGGATTACGTCATTGTCATGCTCGTACATTTCATTAGGTGACGCGCAAGGCTAGTCAAATAGCCTTGGGTTGATCATTTTCGAAAGTCTGAACAGTTTTGTTGGCCATTGTAAAACGTCACATGCTTGTGAGTAAGTTGGCCATATTTCTTGATAGTATTGAATTGACACATAGCCACATTATTTTACAATTGCAATGGAAATATATCTTGGCATACATCGTCATATAGACCGACATTACCTTCATTTTCTAAAGATCATAAATCTATTTATTTTCACACAATAATAGTGCACAAATGCATAAAATCAATAAAATGACTAAAGGTGAACAACTACAAGAATAAAAGGAGGAAGACCATCACGACAATCACTCGAATTCAACTATATATTTGTTGTTTATTTGTTTTACATTTTTGCTTAATTTCACATGAGGTCAGTTGTACGTTGTACTTCTCTATTCTATTGGCTATATATACATTGTATATTTGAATATATATCATTATTTGAATGCAATATTATTGTTTTCGTCTGTTGACCTTTATTCAGTATAATTCCATCAGACTTATACTGAAATATATTCCCTGAAAATTATTATCCCGTAACATGGGTGGGGTCTATTATGTCCTATCAGGGGTACACACATATATATATATATATATATATATATATATATATATATATATTGATATTGATTGAGATTGAAAAGGTTTTATTAATTGCACTTCGCAGCCAGATGGCTGAATTATGAACAATTTACATTGGCAATAAATTATAATACATACAAATGTGGTTTGACATTCTCACAAAGTATAATATACAGTATATAACAAAATTCATAACAAAGTTCATAACTAATATGACTAAGGCAATAACAGGCAAATTAATTCACGTTTAAAATATATTTTGTGAGGTGACACAAGAGTGGGTCAAAGGATGAGCAAGCAGGCCCTTTGCTCTTCAATACACGCTCTCATTCATATACACGCTCCTATTCTCACTCCTGTACCTTGGACACTATCATAAACACTCACATTTACACTCTTATACACACTCCCATACACTAGCTAACGGTCTGCTCGCTCATCCTTGGACTTCTCTTGTGTCAAGGAGTGTCGGGAATTTCAAAAAAATAAACAACAACAAAACAAGTAAGCTCCTTCCCGACTTTCGTACATTGGGGAAAAATAAGCAAATGAATTAAAAACTTGAACACCATCTGATCTGAATTGCCACGTCATGATTGCATTACATTTAAAAAAGATGTTACAAGTAATTATACAAGCATAAAATTTAAAATTTAAAATGCGGAATGTAAAATGTAAAAATGTAAAAATGTACGCAGACAATGAGACTCCGGACCATTCAACAGGTAGACAATTAAGATTCATTCATGCATTCAACAGGTCTATTAGGTACGGAATTGAGCTATTTCTATACCGGTTCGTTTTACAATGAAATTGACGATGCTTGGTCCTTCTTCGTAGTGAATAATCTACATTATTGTTAACAGGTAACCAATGTTTACAAAGTGGGTTGTTGACAAGAGATGAAGCAAAATTAGTGCACAATTGTTTGCGTCTATCTGACAGGGTCTGCAAAGAGCTCACTTCAAGAGCTTTGTCATAATTAATATATTGATCACCTAAAATGGTCCTAAATGCTCTTTTCTGGATTCGTTCCAAACTTAAGATATGACTTTGGCTGAGGTTTCCGTTAAAAACAGGTACTCCATAATCCAATATTGGGCGAATATATCCCTTGTAAGTTGTTACTAGATCACAGAATGGCAATCTGTATGTTTTGAGAATACGAAGCATGAAAGGTTATTTATTAGCACGGCATGAAAGGTCTGAGATATGTTTGTCCCATTTCAAATCGGACTGCACAGTTAATCCTAAAATGTTTGCTTTTTGTACACTATTAAAGCACTCTATATATATATATATATATACTTGTAATTGTGCATAAACTCACCCCCTGGTCTTCATCACATATATATATGACAAACCAAAATCGTGATCGTATATACTAATATACCAACATACTGAAGAATGATTAACAAAACTCTGTCAAATATGCTTTCTATACGATTCAATATCATGTTATGTTATGTTATTTATTACATTATGTGTTATTAATTTTGTTCGTAAACTTTTGTAATTCGGCTAAACGACGTGATGAAAGTTTTATTTGAAATAAACCATTTGTCTACAATTGTATATAAAGATTGGCATACATAACGGGATTTATTTGTTTTAATTTTCAAAAAGTAAACTTACATGATGACAGTTTACTGTCTTTTGACTGAAAGTTAAAAACTAGTGGAATGTTAAAAGCAAGTAATGAAATACCTTTGTTGTGTAATAGGCGAGATACGATAGAACGATAGCATAATTTTATAATGATGAGGGGCCTTGTTATCTATACAGAAGGTCAGTTATTGAAAATATTATTTATTATATATAATGAATGTAATGTGTTTTTAGTAAGGTTTAACAAATATAAAGATTAACTGCGAATGAATAATAAAGGAAAAGACTGGCATAACAAATTCAGAATGACATGATAAGCTACGTGTGGTACAGATTGAAGTGTATATACAATAATATCATTTGCAACTAAAGTATCAACTATGAACAACATGAAATACAAAGTCCTGGAAATGAACGTAGTAGTACTAGTAGGAGTGGCAGCAGTAGTAGTAGTACTAAAAGTAGGAGCAGGCGCGAATCCAAGGGGGGAGGGGAGAACCCGACGGCCCCCCCCCCTAGCCCCCAAAACTGGTAAAAAATAAGATGGTAACGTTAATTTGACCTTATTTAAACAAAAAACTAAAGCCTCCCCCCCGGCAAAAAAAATCAAAAAAAATCAAAGGTTTTTGTTTGCCCCCCCCCCCCAAAAAAAAAAGAAAAAAAGAAATAGCGTTTCTCCCCCCTCCCCACTTATTCACCGGCTGGCTGAGTCGCCGCTGAATATTTTCTCACTAATTGACCCCCCCCCCCTCCTGCCGCCGGCTGGATCGGCCCCTGAGTAGGAGCGATAGCAGCAACAGAAAGAATGTTGTAGTAATAGTATGTCCACTGATTTATTTTAATATTCAGCGTAGAATCTCCGTTAATTCGTTAATTCGGTTTAGGAAGAACAGACCAACACCAACACATACGACAACGCCTAGAAAAATGATATGTTCTTTACTGATTCCAGTCCAGATGAAGGTCGTCGTTGATCTATTTCCATTATTCGTCTCCGTAGTTCGCACCATTTTATATGTGATGTGGGGTCACCTCCTATATGAAAAGTTCGCAGTGGAAAAGATGAATAAAATAATGTTAGGGAATAATAAGAAGAGCTTTAGAGAAGATTTAGAAGAGAAGATGTGGATTAGTTCATTATCTTTATGTTATGTCGCCCCTTTCCCCCTCTCTCTCCTACCCCTCATCTCTTTTCTCTCTTTTCTTTCCTCTCCTTCTCTTTTTCTCTCTCTCTCTCTTCCGTTTTTACTAATTTTTGTGAAGATTTAACAAGCCTTGATTTAAATATAAAGGCCCATATTTACCTCTACGTCCATCTCTGAACGGATCCACTGCTCCATCAACCATCTCTCCTGGCTCTTTAAATTGTATTTCTTGTTTTCTGTCTTGCTCACCTGCAAGTTAGATATGTAGAATCATTTGGTTGTGTGAAAGTACATTGATGGTCAACTTAACAGACAAAAATAGTTAATGTCATGACTATTTAATGAATGTGTGTCATCACTATTAAATGGGTGAGCTGAGCACACATTGCCGCCATATCTAGTGTTTACAAAAGGATTATTTGATTAATGTAAAAGTTATTTCCTAGATTCAAGGTTATTTTAATGTGTTAATACCAATCCTTGTTCGAGATCTAGCTTTTTGATAAAAAAAAATAAAATATACATGAACATAATGAAGCTTTCATTGTTATTATTTAGACCCCTTAGGAATGTTCAGAGTTAAGGAGGTATTAATTGTTTGTAAATTGGAGCATTTTTTTTTCTTTTCTTTAAATCATTTTTAAATTAACTTTTTTATATTCAATTTTTATTCCAACTTATTTTGTTATCTTCCCCCTTTTATCATGTGCAATATTCTATGTATAGAATTTTTAATTATGTACTGGGAGTAGCATGTGTGCGGGCACATGCCTCCGGGCAACAGTGATGAACTTCACTTTTGTGCACCCTGACCCACTTGCTGCTCCCTTATCTCTTTGTTTGTTAATCCTTATTATGTACTTGTCTCTTGCTATACTGTATTGTATTTGT